GGATCATGAGGGTACGGTAGGTCTCCAGATGGTCGACTGGGTCCATCGTACTGTCAAAAGAGTCAATAGTGGGCATCTTGAACTTGGCGGGCAGAGGTTTGTCCCGGATGGAGGCAACAAATGGTGAGCTTACCGTGGTAGAGGGTTTATGCTGAATGTTCTGCATGACCCCTTGGAGTTGGAGCTTCATTGCTCAGAGTTTAGCGTCCCAGAGGGGAATGTGGTCACCATGGTCAGTCAATGGGGGCTGGACGCTGCTGGCTTCCCCTTCAGGGGCTGGTGCCACGACCGAAGGGTGCGGGGGTGGAGGTGGTAGATTTATATGCGGGGGAGGAGGTTGCAAACCTTCCAAGTTGGGTGGATAGGGTTGCGGAACAGTATGGCTCGGGGCTCTTTCTTGGTTGGGTGGAATATCTGAAGGTAGTGGAGGAGGCATCGGAAGGTTTCTTTGGAGTAAAGCATTTATCAGGGCCTGGTTTTGTTCGGCCATGCGGTTAATGCTGTTGGTAAGCTCAATGATATACTGTGGTGGGTTGTTTGGATTGGGAGGGTCAGTTTGATGGTCGGCAGCATTATGGTGAGAAGCCATGGATCTAATCGTGACCATACACTTGGATGGGTAGGAGGAAAAGGTTGTTAGGACAGGGTCTCCGGCGACAATGAGCACAACTGGCGTCCGGATAAGAACCACTTCCCACAGACAGCGCCAACTGATGATACAGTTTGTTCCAATGAATGAATCGGACTGGTCTAAGCTCCTCAGGTCCAAATGATCAAGCCCACCGGATAAGCTGCAAACAAGTTCAACGGGGAACAGGGTAGTCCCCCAGTGAACCCTCCGACGAGCAAGTCAAGAAAAGAAGTAGAGTGTAGAGGGAGAGATTAGAGATAGAAAAGCTTAACCTTCTTCTTGTCTTCAACGTTTGCTTATATCCTTTGGTAATCATTTCGCTGTCCCTTCCGACCTGACTTCCTCGCCGAAAGTCTATGCTGTAGCTTACCTTGTTCAGGGTAAGGGGGTTCTGTTCCAACGGAGAGGTGTTGTCGTAATAAATACTGTGATGGGCTGCATTAATGGTGATGTGCAGTGGCAATAACTTTGCAGATCTTTGTCTGCTGATGTGGCTCGTCCTTCACCTGTCATGTGTCTGAATGTCATTGGCTCTTTATGCCATGTTGGATTCCAGCTGTCCTGGACCTCACCAGCTGGGTTATGTATTGGGCTCCAAGTGATGAGTTTGGGTTGTTCATAGTGATTCATGGCCTTTATGGGCTTATACACGTCACCACCAAAGATAAAATTATGTTAAATTGATAAATCTTTTAGATATTTATTTATTTTATTAAATTAATTTTTATTATATGTTTGGATGATGATCATGCAATGTGTAGTTGTTAAGCTTTTAATGTGTAATCAATATATTTAATATATGAAATATTTTTAGTTTTGGATTTTTTGATTTAATGGATTAGTTTAATAATGATATCAAAGTTGTTGCCATATTTGAATTTTGAAAAAAATAGAAACTAATTTAATGAAAAATAATCACCCATTACATGATTATTATCCAAACACATAATAAAAATTAATTTAGTAAAAAAAATAAATATCTAACAGATTTATCAATTTTACATAATTTTATATTTAGTGGGTATAAATAATTTTTAAAAATTTAAAAATATTTTTTTGACATTTATTTTTATCAAATTAGTTTATACTTTATCAAATTGATGATTTTGCCCTTGAAAAATCCAATGGTATCTTTAATTATCCTTATTTGACACAAGATTCAAAATTTAGGATCAAATGTGTCACAATTAAAAAGTCAAAAATTAAAATGACGCAAGTTCTAAACTATAGGAACCGTTAATATAGTTCACCCTATTTTTTATTGTGCAACAAAGTGTGGGTAAAATAACCTTTCAATACATGGTTTTTTTTTACTTTAATAAGATAGTATGTTTCTTGAGAAAAAAACCTAATGGGAATCACTTCTGTCCAGTTCTTAATCGGATTGGACCGTGCTGTTAGGTCCGTGGAGGCCCACCACGGGTCCTGTTTTGATAATCTGAATCGTTAATGTGTAGAACTCGTCGAGTACTATATGCTTGTAAAAAATCACGTTGATTGGATATCGATAGCTATGTGATCAAAACAGATTTTTGTCAACCGTTAAATTATTCACCGTCCATTTTTTTTTTATACAAAACTAATTTGATCACATAGCTATCGATATCCGATTAACGTAATTTTTTACAGATATATAATACTCGACGAGTTTTATACATTGGACGGTTCAGATTATCAAAACGGGACCCGTGGTGGGCCTACGGACCCAACAGTACGATCCAGTCCAATTATAGACTAGACAGAAGTCATGCCCAAAACTAATATATATTGCCTTTTATTTTTCTTTTAAGTAAGTCGTTGTTAAACAAACTTACTGTTTTTTTTTTAAAAAAAAACAAAAACTTTAAATAAGCTATTAACAATCAAAGTTTTTAAGTTACAATTAGTTCAATGAAAAATACAATTCTGCTATGTACCCCTATAAAACTACAGAATATTTTAAAGTAAAGCTAGAAGTCCTAAATAATCTATTAAATATTTTACCAAATCTCTCACATGGCTATAGGATTTATACACATCATGTAGATTTATGTGAATTCCACATGAGATTTGATAAAATATTTAGTAGATTATTTGGAATTTCTAACATTTTCCAATATTTTAAGCACTGGTGTTGACTCCTAGTGTGTAAAATATTAGGTAGTTTCTGTAGGAATAGCTATGTTTTTTTGCCTGAAAAATATGGGCCAAATATTGGGGCTATTAGTTGGGCCGACTTGGTGTAACTCTTTTAGATGAGATGAGTTGGCTCATTTATTTGATTTCCTTGTTCCAGTTCGAGATGACACGAGTCACTCCCAAGCTTAATGATTGTTTAAAATAGGAGTGTAACTTGGGCAGATTCAACTCAAGCAACTTAAACTCAGTCTGATTTTTTTTAGGATTTTGACAAGATATTTTTAAATTAGGTACAGGCTTGGGCAAGAATTTAGAAATCCGAATTAAATTTGGACGGGTTTGGACAAAGACATCAAATAATCCGAGCAATCCAAAGCTCGAATTATACATATATAGATATATAAAAATATTGAATATATATATAAATTATTAGCTATTATATGATATTAAAGTAATTTAGATTATTAAATCATATTGAATATATATTATATATACAAATAACATAAAATCTTACTCTCTTTTTTTTTTTTTCACTCATAAATTGTAAAGACTATTATAGCGGCATCTCTTTTACATTATATAAATTATTTGTGTTTGATGGTATTAATGATTTTCTATATCTATATATATATATATATATATAATATAAATAGAGACAAATTTTAATAATTTAATAATGTAGATGCAAAAAAATATAATTCGGGTAACTCGGGTTTAACTCGGGTCAGGCTTGGACAAGCAACCTCGGGTTACAAATTGGGCTTGGGCGGGCCTAGACAGATCTCAGCACAACTTGAACTGAGTTTAGACAACCTTCTAACTCGACTAAATCCGCCGAAGTTACACCCTTAGTTTAAAATGAAGCTAGCCCAACATTTTGATTGACCTTCAAGAACTGAGCATGTTTGTATTAAGGGCTGGACCTGATAAATGTGATTAATCCAGGCTTGTACCCCTGGTCTATACCCACGGTTGGTTTGTATTGATGAGAAAAATAGTGAGGATCATTAGTGGAGTGACTGGGGGGCATTTTACAAATCCTATTTTGGTAATTCTCTTAGAAAAAATAATTATTGAATATGTTTGACAAATGTTAAGAAAATAATTTTGTGTTCTTGGGAAAAGTTGAGTGAGAGTTATATTTTCATTTTGTAAACTAAAATAAGTTATTACCAAGCAGATAAAAAAAAACCCAAATATAGCTGTTTGAATTTGAATTCCAAAATCCCTTTCTTCTATTCCATGGCCCTCCCTAAAGCAATTAAAAAAAAAAAAATTACATTGGAAAAAAAATAAAAATAAATTTAGATAATTCCCATAAAAGAACTAAACAATTAACAAATTAAAAAGCCTTTTAGGCCTCGTTTGGCAAGATGCTATTTTAGTCAATTAGCCAAAAAGTTACTGAATTAGTCAAAAAGCCAACAACTCATACCAAAAAGTTAAAGATTCTCTTTTCTCTCTACTTTTTGCACATCTTTTCGTAATTAGCCAAAAAGTCATCCCAAACATACAAGTTTTTTTTACCTACCTTTTTAGCCAAATAGCAAAAAAGTTACTAAATTAACCTGTTCCCAAACGAGGCCTTAACTGCATTGCTAAAAAGGAAAAACATCAATCTGAGAGTGATTTCACAATTTTCCTATGACACAATGCCAGCCGTGAGTGACTGAAAATTTTTAACCCATCTATCCCAAAATTTACAAGTTGATCGAGTATTTTGACAATATTAAACCAGTGTCTTAAGTAAGTTAAAAGTATAAAATGAAAAAGAATATTGGTGACATATCATTTTAGATTTTTAATTATTATTTAAATTTTTTTATCTCAACATAAAACTTACAAATTAATCAATTAAACTTATTTAATTACAAGTCCTGACTGATAAATTTATCACTATAAATTTATTTATATAAATAAGAGGAACTGATTAATTTATTACTGAATAAAAATGTGTTTGGTTTCAATTTTCTGAAAATCGAGTTTTTTGTTTTTCGTATTTTTTTGTTTTTAGTAAATATTTTAAAAATTTTAACCAATTTTTTTACTTTTTTGGATGTCATTTATTTAGATGTATCTAGATAGTAAAATATTTGTGAAAAAATATTTTAAAAAATTAATAAATATACAAAAATATGAAAAATATATTGAATTTTCGTATTTTTGGTATTTAATGAATTTTTTAAAGATTTATTTTTACTAATATTATGATTACGATCCTTTAGCATATGATTACGATCCTTTAGCATATGCTTACCTTATAAAACCCCGATTCGTTTCGTTCCTCTTCGAACATTAATCGCGTATCATAAACACAAACACGCAATCATAAACCGCCAACGAACTTCTATCACGCTACTCTCTCTCTCTCTCTCTCTCTCTCATTCGATCGAATTGGATTTTAGGGTTTCGCACTGAATGTGATGGACGATGGAGTCTCTGCAACAGAGAGTGGAGACATGGATCAAAGACCAAAGCACGAAGATCTTGAAGGTCACTTGGCCTCCTCAATGGCGTATGGTGGTGAAGTGGCCGTGGACAAACGGAAGGCAACAGAGGAAGCGAATTCATGAGGAGTATGAGAGAAGGAAGAAGCAGCTTCACGATCTTTGTTGCGCAGTCAAGGCTGAGTCTGTCTCTGATTTGCAAGACATTCTCTGTTGCATGGTGCTCTCTGAATGTGTTTACAAGGTTTGTGCTTTTTCGCAGCCTTTGTGTATTCAATTCTTCACCTGAATTGAAATATTTTTCATTGCATTTTGGTTTACATGATTTGTCTTGATGAAAACAAATTTCTGGAAATTCCACAGCAATGTAATAATGAATATTCGACAGTTTGATTATTTAGTTCAAGTTTGGAACTTTTGAAGTGAGATTGGTGGCAATGGCACTATGGTATGTTTGAGAATATTCTAGGTAAAATGAGGAAATAGGGTCATGGACTTGTGGTGGTGCACTTAATTTGATTAGCTTTTATGTGAAATTTTCATGGGTGATTGATTGAGCTGGCAGCACTGATCAAATAAAGGCTTTGAAGCTAGAGTGTTGCTGTTAGATCAGTAGGAGAATGTGAATCGTTTTTAAACAACAATGATGCAAATCTTTTTTCATCGAGAAGAAGAAAGTTTTCCATTAACAAATTAATACATTGACATGTATATGTACAGATTACACGGAAATTTATTGACCCCTTGATTAAAAAACTACCCAAATAATTGAAGGTATATTTGAAGTTTGTGATTATATTTGTGTACAAGCGTAATGACCATTGAACACCCATTTGAATGGCTCATGGTGACATGCATTACTGATGCATGATCCTCATCTTTCTTTTTTGGGACTTCAGTAACATTATTTAAACTTCGTGGCTGTGGAGAATTACTAGTGTTTTATCAGAACTTCTAAAATCTATATCTTGTGGAATCACTGCTAAATTTTAACAATGTGGCAGAGAAATGACTGACCAAATTACATATAGATAAGTACCCATTAAATATTGAACTCAACAAAGTGTTTGTCTTACTTATGTTGTCTTACTTATGTGGGATCACCTAGTGGAATGTTGTTCTTTATTTGGGCAAAAGAATAATGTCCATGAAAATCGGGCTGCATGTTTTATGTGCTATTAGCTACTTAAGACATAAACTCATGTTGTTATCCTGCTTCATCATGGCTGTGTGAAGATATAATTGTATTTCAATTAACGGAATTTAAATACCTTTTTTTTGGTAAAGAGTGGCAAACTGGTAGAATCACCTTTGTTGAGTAGGATATTGGTTGGTTTCATTATAATAGCAAAACTGTGTGTTAGCCTTGTGATGGTGGTGTTTCTTTAAAATGGCAACTCAAGAAGCTGAAAATGGAATATAACCATGGCTATCTGATATCTTTTCCAGATACATTCTTTCAAGGTAACTGATCTGTTAAATGTTTTAAATTAGTTCCTTGCTATGTATTTTATACTTCTTTTCTGGTCATGATTGCAATGCTGAGTGCCTCTTAAAATGTTAGCAATCGCAAGATTTGGCATTTTGTTACAATATGTGTTATTCCTTGCATGATAGAGACCTGCTGCTGAGATGCTTAGAGCAGTGAACAAATTTAAGGCAGACTTTGGGGGACAAGTTGTTTCTATAGAGCGGGTTCAGCCTTCTTCAGATCATGTTCCTCACAGGTGGATAATTTATGATCTTCAGTATAGTCATTTTTATTTTTTAGTTAAATTTTTTTTAAAACCATTTTACCTCTGATATCTGCCTAATAGTTTGTTTTCTGTTTGTTTCGAATATCAGTTTATCTGAAAATTTTATTGTGGAGTACAAGGGCTTTTTTGTTTCTTTAGGATTTAGGATTGTTTCAGTTCAAAATTTTCAACCCGACTTTATCCCATGGTGGGTTTGTTTTTATGTTTTGGGTAGCTTGACTCAAACTACGAGCTCCATGTATACTTTCTCAGAGATTATTGGTTGGCCATAAGTTGGACAAAATAGATGTGAAGCTCAGTGTCAAACCTGCCTATAAGATACAACTTGACCAAGAATATCTTATCTTATTCATCCAAAAAGGGAAGTCAAAGTGATAGCTGCTTCTTATTGTCGTTTTTTCCCCCTTCTTCATACATAAGACTTGAGTAGATCAAACTAGTAGCACTGCAGCTTATGTCTCATTATGTTGCCTTTCCTTCTTCAGACAAGAGATCAATTTGCCTCCTTTAGTTGAAACTTATTAGACTACAGGGTGCAAAGTTTTTAGCCATTCTAAGATGTGCTGTAATCACATTGCTACACATATGGATGTTTTTTTATTCTTATTGTTTGGTTATGTTTTTTTTTTTGGTCTTCCCCCCCTGTTCTGTTGGTTGTAGTTGATCATTTCAAGGATTTTCTTATTTCTAGTTTCTCCCCAACTGTTAATTTGTCATCATTATATTTAAGAATGTGATTTGTTGGAAAAATTGTGGCAAGCGGAAGACATAGCTTGACACATTTTTTTTTTTATTCTTTAAATAGCATCCTATTCTATCTAGCTTGAATGAGCTGATGCCGCCCATTTTCAATCTGAGCTAAAAAATTGAACAATGAATGAACTTCACACTGGTAGATTTAATTGTAGTTTGGGTTTGGTTTGGTGTTTGCTGTTCTGCACTTCAGGAGGAGCTTGGGTGGGTATTTAATTCATCAAAAATTATCCAAGATGTAGCCTCACAACTCAAGTTGACTTTTGCGGTTTTGCCTGTGCCTGAAACAAAATCACTCCTAACTTGGTTGTCACTGTTCTATGTTGCGTGGATGCTGATAGATTTTGATGTAATATCAAGATGCTGGCATAAGATTTTGGAATTATGGGCTAGCATGCGAGTAATGTTGTACTTTTTGTGAAATTAATAATCGATATTCTTTTCATATTTAGAATTATGTCTTCTTCCTGCAAAAATCTCACATTATCTCACTTCTTGAATTTTCAGAAGTCAGCAATGTTTAGCGCTTTTCTGCTATACTCAGACTATGCCTGGTTAAAAAATATATCTCTTTCAACATTCACTGTGTGCTCAACTGACTTCTGTCACTCATGCAAAATTCTCTTTGCTACTTGGCATTTTTCTGAACTGTTTGTTTTCTTCTCGTTTTCTGCTTTTTCCATCTTGTCAATAATTGGTTCTTCTATCACATCTACCCTAGCTACTCATGTATGCCAATGTTCTATTGCTTTCCCTCGATTGATGCTACCTATATTTTACTAATGGTTACTAAGCCTCACTCATCTATTCAACATCCTTAGTTCAATTTTGCTCATATTATGGATAATAATGCCCAGCAAGGAAGCTCTAAGCATGTGATTTCTTTGAGATTTTGTATTTTAATGCACCTTAACTGCTTTGGTTTCTCATGTACCTTTGTGTTTTACTTTTACGTAGGTATCTATTAGCAGAAGCAGGGGACACATTATTTGCTTCCTTCATTGGGACCAAGCAGTACAAGTAAGCATGATAATAATCCTTTGTTCAGTTGTCTATTCTGTAGTCTTTTTAACATAATAGTTTTTTTTTGCCTATTGTAAAGGGACGTCATGGCTGATGCAAACATACTTCAAGGTGCTATATTTCATGAGGATGCTGTAGAAGATAATTATGAGACTGCAACTACTGAATCTGCTCAAGTCGATAGTCAAAAGATAAATGTAGCAAATCTTTCAAAATCTCTTGAAGCAAAGCCTAAGCAACCAAAACCTACACCTAAACCTGCTGTCCATCGAGTAAGGGAGCAATTCATCAATTTTAGGCTTGGTTTGGGAAGAACTAAAAAAGTCAGAAAGTCATTAAAAAGTAAAAAAATCAAACAACTATACAAAAAAGTCAATGATTCCATTTTTTCTCTACTTTTTGCACTTTTTTTCATAAAAAGCCAAAAAAATCCCAAACTTATGATTTTTTTTACCTCATATTTTGACCAAAAAGCCAAAACGTTACTAAAATAGTCTATTCCTGAACCAATCCTAATTTTCATTTGAACATAGTTCGTTGCGTGTTCAATACCTTTACGATATTCTTTGCTATCTGTTTCTAAAGAATACCCCACCCCCACCCCAAAATGAGAGGGGACATATATTTGTTTTCTTTATTTTAGTAATTTTTTCTTTCAAATTCTTATCTCTAGGGATTCATGGCTCGTGCTAAAGGGATACCAGCATTGGAGTTGTACAGGCTTGCTCAAAAAAAGAAACGGAAACTTGTGCTATGTGGGCATTCACTTGGTGGAGCAGTAAGTTCAATTTATGTATTTTGCTTACATTTCGGACAGTGATTTGTTCAGTCTATAATATCTTTTTTAGTGCTCCCTCTTTCTACTGTCTAGGTAGCAGTCTTGGCTACCCTTGCCATTTTGAGGGTTATTGCTGCTTCCTCGTCATCAAAAGACAATGAAAAAGTTCAAGTCAAGTGTATCACATTCTCTCAGCCTCCAGTTGGGAATGCTGCTTTAAGAGAGTAGGTTTATCGCCATCTTGTATATTCTTATAATAGTAAAAGTATTATATATATATATATATTAAATTTGACATATTTTTTCTTTCAGTTATGTTAACGGAAAAGGTTGGCATCATTATTTTAAGACTTACTGTATTCCAGAAGATCTAGTGCCTCGTATCCTGTCTCCTGCTTATTTTCATCATTATAATGCCCAAACGCTGCCAATCCCTGTTGATACCAAGACTAGCGATTCGTTGATGTCAAAACGTGAGGAAGGTGTGAAGAAGCAAAAAGCAGAAAAACTAAAAGAGATAGAAGGGGAGCAGCTGGTTCTCGGTTTAGGCCCTGTCCAGACTTCCTTTTGGAGACTTTCAAGGCTTGTCCCTTTAGAGGGTGTCAAAAGACAATTCAACAAATACAAAGGGAAACAAGTTGACCCTGTTGAGACATCTTCTGCTTCTGATTCTGCTGTAACATCTTCATTTGATGACGAAGCAGCTGCACCACTGTCTCTTGAAATTCAGGAAGGTTCTGATGGCATTTCTCTCAAACCATTTCCTGAGACAGAAACCAGGCCCCAAGGTGAAGCAAGAGATGCAAAGTTGTCTGGAAAAATGAACACCAGTGACACGGATAATAATAGGGCATGGCGTAGAGTGCCTTATTTACCTTCTTATGTACCGTTTGGTCAGGTAGTCACTATGAACTGATACTGTTGTTTTCTATGTTGTTTATTTAAACCCATTTGCATATATGACATAAGAAAATTTGTGGCAACCCTGGAAGTTGTGATGTTAATTTTATATTCTTGTAAAATACTGATGTATTATTATTGATTGTATTGTTACAAGATTGTTGTATTACAAATCAGAGTGGCTCATTATATAGGAGAGGGTTTGGGTAGTAGGTGAGGAGTAGGTGAGGGTAAATTGGTGGTAGGTGGAGTGTAGTAGGTGAGTGTGAATGGTAAATTCTAACAATATTCATCATTAGATATTTATTTTCCATTTTTTAAACCAAGATTTTATGCAACTGCTTAATTTGTTTTAGTTGCTGTCAGCGCCCTCAATTAGGAGGAGGGACCGACCCTGGCTAATGTCCATTCGTTTTGTTAGAAGTTTGGAGGCATCTAACCCAAATCAGTTGTCCTTAGGTGGAGAGGCCTTTATACTATATTAACCAAACTTGAGTCGCTTAGAGAAGCAATGTGGGTTAAGTCTCTATGGCCAATTGGTTTTGCATCTTGGGTGTTTCGTGGACCAAGTTTCTGCCCGGGTCTATCTTTCTCGTTTCTCTATAACCTCCACATGCAACCAGGCCACAACTTAGGGAAGTCTTAGAGAATTGTCTGGCATCACTACTTTAAGCCACCCAAGTTTGGTTAATATATTCTAAGGGCCTGTCCAACCAAGGCCGGCCCTGAGGTAAGGCGGGGAAGGCCGCCGCCTCAGGCCCCCAAATTCTGTCTAAGAAATAGAGCCCTGAAATAATTTCGATCTTATGTTATGTTTGGTTAATTATTTTGGTCTTAAGTTATGTTTGGTTGATTAAAATAAATTTGAATAGATTAATCATTTCATCATAATGGCCATTTTCACATTTGATTTAATAAAATTACAAACAAAATCATCATTTTTCATTGTGAGGAAATAGTAATTTTATAAAGAGACTAAGAAATGGCCATTCCATTCAATTTAATTTCATTTCAGTGAACCAAACACTACATTATAATATTAGTAGTTTAAAAATGAAGATTTAAACAAACAATTTAATTGGTGAATTATTTAAAAATAATGGATGGTTGCTTGCCAATGTATGAATTATTTATAGAATATTGTTTGACTATACAATAATTTTTTTAGATTGAAGTAAATTAAATTTTACAATTTAATTTTTGTCAATAATTATGTGTACCATATGCAACAAATTTATAGAAGGTACAAGCAAAAAATAAAAATAAATTGAAGATTGTTATTATTTTACCAATATATACTGTAAAAATTTATGTATTATTGATTGATGTTTATTGATATCTATTACAATAAATTGAAGATTGTTATTATTTTACCAATATATACATACATATATATATATATATATATATTTTTAAATATGTATGAGAGCCGGGGCCCCATCTTCTGAGTTTGCCTTAGGCCCCGAAAAAGTCAGGGCTGACCTTGTCTCCAACGAAGACCAATTGGTTTTGGGTTGGATGGTCCCAAAATTCTAACATGTTTCTCATTGATCAGTCATTGAGCTTAAATGAGGAGTCTTATCCTTGTTTATATTGTTGATGACTACTCTAAACCATCAGTCCTTAAGTAGGTCCTTTGTAACGATTGTGGAAATCTTTATGCTTGTCATCCAACCTTGCTGGACTTAAAAAAAATCATTTCCTATACTTTCTGTTTTAATTTCTTTTTGGGGATTTTTTTTTTCTTTTTGTTTTGTTAATGGGATGGATGAACTAATGATGTGTAAAGGACATTACTTTGTGCTCATTAAAATTCCTTTAGAACATTTTTTTAAATTTCATTTGCGACATCATTATACGTTTTCACTTCTCATAAAGGAACAAGGCATGTGATCTTCTCAGTTCATTTAAGCTTATGTAACTTATGTCTCTATTATTTTAAGTTCTTCATGTAGCCAACCTGATTGATTGGGTTACAAGGCTTGGTTTGATTTGGTTTTTGGCAGTGAGTTCAACATTTTATATTTCATATGTAACAGCTCTATCTTTTGGGGAATTCATCAGTGGAGTCACTATCGGGTGCAGAGTACTCAAAGTTGACATCGGTATAAGTTTTGTTTACTTTTTGACCCTCAAATAATGGTTCAATATTCTGTTACTGTTAGGAATAAGCATTCTACCCTGGATGAACTGTATATTTTATTTACATATATTTATATGTAATATATTGCGGTAGTTAAAGGTTGCAAAATAGCCAATAACTTTGCACATAGTTTATGTTTACATACCAGCTTCTAGCACCTCTCATGTTGTTGCTTTCATTTGGCAAAGGCATTTTCAGGTCAGATCCGTGATTGCTGAAGTAAGGGAACGATTTCAGTCACACTCAATGAAGTCATACAGGTTTAGATTTCAAAGGTAATATCTATTCTTTTGAAAGCTGTCTTTCTTTTGTGGTCATTTGACTGTCAGTAGAACTTTTGTTGTTGTGTCCGAAGAGCAAGATCTATTCATAGATCTTGTTTTTCTGGAATTTTTTGGGGGTATATTTCACCCATCATTATAGTATATATGGTTATTTGTATTCTACATGTGTGCACACATTTAAGTTGTGTTAATTTTTTGAAGGAGAATATGTACATGGGGCTGCTTTTAACCCTTTTGGCATTGAATACATCTGCATATTAGTGTTGATTGTGTTTTTTTTTTTTTTTTTTTCTTTTTTTAATAGTAAGTTCCTTTTAGCATTATTGGTTTTGGATTCCAGGCATCTTGGGTTACCAGGACTAGTATGTCTTCTTTTCCTTGCAGAATATATGAGCTGTGCATGACTGACGATGCTTCATTCTTGGGAGTCGAGCAACTGCAGCAATTTCCTCATTTACAAAAGTGGCTAGGCCTTTCGGTCGCTGGTACTGTTGATTTTGGGCATATAGTAGAGTCTCCAGTTATTCGTGCAGCCACTTCTGTTGTTCCTCTGGGATGGAGTGGTATTCCTGGTGAGAAGAATGAGGAACCTCTGAAAGTAGATATTACTGGTTTTGGATTACATCTTTGTACGCTGGTTCAGGCTCGTGTTAATGGTAGCTGGTATTGTTTTTTATCCTATCAGTTATTCATCTTTTTGTTAATTTAAGGTTTGGTTGTAAAGAGCCATTTGAGCATCTATACAATTTTTTAGTTTCGAATCACTTGCATAAGCATATTTGGGGGTGTTTGGGCTAAAATAGCCTCAAACACTACAAAAAGCCAAAAAGTCTCAAAAATTCTAAATCAATGATTTATATATTTTTTTTTTTAAAAAAAAAAGGAAGCAAAGCCGGCAGCAGTGGGCAGCCCTACACTGTCATGACAGTGTGTAGGCACAAAATTGTGACAGCCTAGTCTTTGAGGCTGAAATGACGATTTTGCCCCTGTAGATTAATTTTGAAAAATGTGAGGTTAGGGACAAAGTTGTCATTTTAACTTCAAACATCATTTCAACACATTTTTCAATACAACAATTCAAATAAAAATCCATCCCATCTTCCCAAACACAAAAACTAAAATAGCCTATTAAAATAGCTAAAAAGCCAAGAAGTCTCTAAAATAGCCACTTCCCAAACACCCACTTTACTAGGAGATGATAAATCTATTTTATTGTATAAAGACAATAAATGACAAGTGTCTGACAGGCAATTCTGGTGTGGGAGCAGTTACAGCCTCTCAAGGAAAGAAAACACAATGCCACTTGGCACAATTGTAGGAGAATTAAATAACTAATTGATAAATTTAGAAAATACCAAGATTAGGGAATGATTAGGATATCATTCCCTATTTATATTAATGAAGATCAATAATTATAAGGAAGCCCTAAGGTATAGAATAATTATTAAATAATAACCTAAATAATAATATATTATTCTAACACTCCCCCTCAAGCTGGTGCAAAGATATTTCTCATACCCAGCTTGCTTAAGATGCCATGAAAGGGCTTACTCCCAACTCCCTTGGTGAGGATGTCAGTAAGTTGTTCATCAGACTGCACAAAGAGAGCACATATTGTGCCACTAGTGAGTTTCTTCTTAATGAAGTGGCGATCAATCTCAACATGCTTTGTCCTGTCATGTTAAACCGGATTGTGAGCAATGTTGATAGCGGCCTTATTATCACAATATAACCGCATGGAGTCCGTTTGATTAATACCTAGATCACTCAACAATAACTTGATCAATAAGAGCTCACACACCCCTTGTGCCATAGCTCTAAACTCAGCTTCTGCACTTGACTTCGCAACCACATTCTGTTTCTTACTCCTCCAAGTAACTAGGTTGCCTCCAACAAGGTGCAATACCCTGAAATCGATCTCCTATTAGTTACTGATTCAGCCCAGTCAGCATCTGTATAGGCTTCCACACGAAGATGATCATACTTTGAAAAATAAAGACCCTTACCAGGAGCAGACTTTAAGTACCTCAAATTTTTCATGACAGCCTCGAAGTGAATCTGATGAGCAGCATGCATAAAACCACACTGACAGTAACAGCAATATCAGGACGGGAGTAAGATAGGTAAATGAGCTTATCCACTAATCACTAATAGCTCCCCTTATCAACAGCTGCCCCTCCTTTATCATCCCCTAGTTTCTGATTGGATTCCAATGGAGTGTCACAAGCCTTGCAGCCAAGCATCCCAGTTTCCTTCAACAGGTCAAGCACGTACTTCCTCTGCGAGATAAATATCCCATCCTTGAAGCGAGCAACTTCATTTTTCAAAATTCAAGCTCATTGGCTAAATATTTCTTCAACAGAAGCGTTTTCTCACTATCATCGCCTGTAAGAACTATGTCATCTATATAAACAATGAGTGTTGTAGTCTTGCCACGTTAAGAATGTTTCACAAATAAGGTGTGATCTGCCTAACTCTGTTTGAAGCCATATTTAAGCATAGCCTGAGTAAATCTCTCAAACCAAGCCCTTGGAGACTGTTTGAGACCATATAATGACTTTCGAAGCCTGCATACTTTGCCTTCTGTCCGATAATTCTCAAAATCAGGAGGAATGTCCATATATACCTCTTCTTCGAGGTCACCATGAAGAAATGCATTCTTTACATCAAACTGATAAAGTGGCCAGTCTAGATTAGCTGCTAGAGAGAGAAGTACGCAGACCGAATTTATCTGAGCCACTGGTGCAAAGGTCTCCTAATAGTCACCGCCATATGTCTGAGTGAACTTTTTTGCCACAAGTCTAGCCTTATAACGCTCAATAGACCCATCCGCTTTGTGTTTCACAGTATATACCCATTTGCATCCCACAGGTCATTTGCCCTTAGGTAACTTAGTCAATTCCCAAGTGTCATTCTTCCTAAGTGCTTTCATTTCCTCAATCATGGCAAGTTTTCACTCAGAGATGGCAAGAGCATCTTGAAAATGGTTAAGAATGCTAACAGAGGAAATATTTGACACAAATGCTCTATATGAGGACGAGAAATGAGATTAGGACACAAAATTTGAGATAAGATGTTGAGTACAACATCTCATACCCTTTCTCTTAGCAATAGGAACATCAAGATCAATGGACTGGAGATTCAAAGTTACTTGGACTCTCATCAGAAGCAGGAGATGGCAGTGAAAGAGCAGAAGTGGTCTCTTGTATCCAGTTAACTTTTTGTTTTTCTTTGTCCCTGACATAAACTTGCCCTTCCCTATGTTTGGTAACATTGGGTTCTGTAGTCCTAGTAGGAGGTGGTGGTGCAAGAACAACTGGTTCCACTATAGAAATCACAGGAATCACTTCACACCAAGGCTCCCCCTAAAGGGAGGACTATGACACCGGAGAGGACAAGAAATAGGATTGGGACTCAAAGAATGTGACATCCATGGACACAAACCACTTATGAGAAGGAGGGTGATAACACTTACACCCTTTTTGAGTAGGAGAGTATCCAAGGAAAACACATTTTAGGGAGCGAGGGTCCAACTTACCACGAGTAGGAGAGTGATTGTGGATAAAACAGGCACATCCAAATATTTTTGGAGAAATAGAAAACAAGGACTCAGACCCTAGGAGGTCTTGAAGGGGAACTTGTTTGTGCAAGACCTGAGTAAGAAGACAATTAATGAGATGGGCAGCGGTGAGAACAGCGTTGTCCCAGTAGGACCAAGGCACACTCATAGAAAAACACATGCACTGAGCCATGTCAAGAAGATGACGATTCTTGCGTTCGGCCATCCCATTTTGTTGAGGGGTATTGGTGCAAGAGATCTGATGGATAATGCCATGAGCAGAAAAATATTGCTCTAATCCAGAATCTATGTATTCTCCCTCATTATCAGAACGGAAGATTTTGACAGTGGCCCCAAACTGAGTACAAATCATCTTATGGAAAATGCGGAACACTGGGAAAACGTCACTCTTGTCTTTCATGAGATACATCCAAGTAGTACGAGAAAAATCATCAATAAATGTAACAAACCATCGATGACCTTTCATAGACATAACACGAAATGGACCCCAAACATCAAAATGTATTAATGAAAAATGAACTAAACTTTTATTAAAACTGGGGGCAAAAGAAACTCTGTGTTGTTTTCCAAGTTGACAAGACTCACAAAGAAACTCAGACACATTATTGTTTGCAAAATCAGATGGAAATAAATGCTTAAGTAAATAAAAAGAAGGATGCCTAAGACGTCAATGCCACAGCCATAAATCATCTTGGGTAGTAGGACTCGTGGTGGAAGAATAAGCAAGCTTGTCCGATTGATCCAAGAAGTAGAGACAATTTTCTGCACTACCACTACCAATCGTCCTTCTCGTGACAAGGTCCTGAAAAAGACAATGATCAAGAAACGACGTCACACTACAATTCAAATTTTATGTAATACGACTCAAGGATAATAGGTTAACAGAAAAATTGAGAACATGAAGAACAGAAGATAGAGGTGTGGTAGGAGTGACATGGGCTAAATCTTTCCTAGAAATGGAAGAAATAGTACCATCTACAATTCTAACTTTGTCCTGACCTAAAAAGGGCTTATAGGCAGAGAAAAGGTCAGAGGAGCCAGACATGTGATCTGAGACACTAGAATCAATAATTCAGGGTAAAAACTTATGAGACTAGAAAACACAAGGAGAAGAGGCTAAGTTACCTGAGCGGGCAAACGACGAGGAAGATGTACTAAGAATAGTAGAAGACCGACGGTCCAGCAAGTGATGCAGAACATCCTCAAGCTCAGGAGTAGTCATGCCAGAGAGACCATCAGAAGGCTGGTTAAAGGACGCGGAAGTAGAATCAAGTGTATCAACGGTACTAAATTGATGAGCCCGTGGATGAGAATCCTATCCTCTAGACTGGCCTGACCGACCTCCTCTAAGACTAAACCGATCACCTCGACTCCCGGATGGAGTCCCATGAAGCTTCCAACATGTCTCACAAGTATGCCGCGGTTTTTTTACAGTAATCACGTAATATAGATTCCTTGGCGGCAGATGGAGGGATGAGAGTCAGGCTAAGGCCATCTCTAGGAGTAGACAGTAATGCGAAGCGGTCAGTAGAGACAGGGGACATCATAGCAGACCGGCGACTCTCCTCATTCTGTACATAGGCAAATGTCTCATAAAGTGAAGGAAGAGTGTCCATATTCAAAACCCGAGCCCTGCTAGAAACTTGAAGACCTTTTTCTGTGCAATGAACTTCCTGTACCCGAATGAAGCAGCAATGCAAACAGGCTTATAGTCCTGTAGGTGATCAAGGCGTTTCCAGTCGTTGGTGAGGAAGGTGAAGTACTGGAGAACTGTCTACTCCCTCTGAACAGAGCTCTCAATAGAGCAGCGTAACTCAAATGCCTAGGAGAAATTCCCTTTGCGGAAATAGGTAACAGCCACTGCATCCCAAACATCTTGGGCAGTCTCCATAGACAAGTAGCCCTCACTGATGTTTGGTACCATCGAATGAATAAGCTAACCCATAATCAAAGAGTTGATAATCTCCCATTAGTCATAACCTGGGTCAGTGGCGCTGGGTGCCTGTGTACTGCCATCAACATACCCCATCTTCCCTCTGCTCTTCAAAAACATAGTCAAACTCTGCAACCACATTAGATAGTTTTGACCATTAAATAGAGAGGTGGTGATTTTAAGATTAGGGTTGGGGTTATCAGTCATAGTAATAGGTAGAATGGAACTCTCACTCTTAGGTGTCTGAGAAGTAGTGGAGACATTGGAGGAATCTGCCATGGAAACTATACGACTGAACCCTCAATAAAACTAGTACCAATCACAAACCCGGAAGGTGGTGGTGGAAGGCTAAGAAGCACGGATACGGATACGAGATACGGATACGATACGATACGATACGGCGATACGACAAAATTTGAAAAACTAGGATACGGGTACGGCGGGGATACGTTCATAAAAAATATTATTTTAACAATTTTTAGTAATGCAGTATGCATAAAAATAAAACCTAAAGCAAAAGATAACTTGATAAAGAAGAAAAGTTCCTATAAAACTAAGAGTCTTCAAAGTCAATAGCTTGAACTTGTTCCCCTTCATCAGTGAATATCACAGACCTTAGCTAAAACCAAAAAACTATTCTTAAATAAAAATTTCAGCAAATATACTTTTTTAAGTCATCAATGATAGCCTAGGAAGCACGGATACGGATATGGTGATATGGGGATGTGGATATGGCGATGTGTCAAAATTTGAAAAAGTATGATACAGGTACAGCGGGATACATTCGTAAAAAAAAGAAAATTATAATTTTAATAATGTAATATGCATGAAAATAAAACTTAAAGTAAATTAATAAATAAAAAGAGGGATTCCTATTAACCTAAAAGTGCTCAAACATTCATAAAACATCCAAAACTAAAAGCAAAAGCAAAAGCAAATGTAAATTAAACATCATCCTTACATGCCAACACCAAAAAAAGAATGAGAGCAGAGAAAAGAAACGTGAGAGAGTGAGAAATTGAGAGAGAAGTGAGAGAGACAACAAGGATACATCAATTTGACAAATTCTATTACTTTAACTCTTACTATATTCCTCTTATCAAAGAACTAAACAAAATATTATAAGTAATATGTAACTTCGAGTATCCGATACTTTAAAATTAAGTATCCGATACTTCAAAATTAATAAAAAATTAATTAAGAAGTATCTGATACTTTTAAGAAGTATCCGATACGTATCCGCGAGTATCCGAGGAGTATCGGTATCTGATAAGTATCCGATACGGATACGTCACCCTTTTTGAAGTATCCGTGCTTCATAGGTGGAAGGAAAGACACAACTACCCACTATGACAGCATAAAACAAATCAAGAACTCATAGAGTTTTTTTTTTTTTTTTGTATGTATGTATGTATGTAAAAAGAAAACTAGGGTACCAGTATTATTAGGTTACAAGTCTACAAAGGAGCAGAGGACTTGGTCAAACAGATTGTCGAAGAATACAAGAGGCCAGGGTACCAGTGTGGTTGAAGAACATTGACTGGGAAAAGAGAGGCTGTCGCAAGAGACAAGAGTGTCGCATGAGGCCAACGACGACATGGGGTTGTCGGTTGGACCAAAAAAGCTATCCGTGGCAGTCAGCAAGGCAAGGCAAGGCAAGACAAGACAAGGCCACGAGGCATGTCGGCAAAGACCAACAAGGGATGTCGATGCTTGCGGTGAAGATGTTGAGCAACCCAGGTAAGGTTCAAACCCTAGACAGACATCAACCCAAACCCGAAACCACCTGGGTCTTTCTCAGTGTAAGCCGAAACCCCTCGGGGTGGAGTCGGCTGCTGAAGGGTAGTCATTGGTGGCGTAGGATGTCTCCGGCTGATGGCTTGTGGCTCCGGTGAGTAACAAGAACTGTATGGATAGATGGGTTTAGGTTTTAAGGTTAGGCTCTAATACCATGATAAATTTAAAAATTACCGAGATGAGGGAATGATTAGGATATCATCGCCTATTTATATCAATGAAGATCAATAATTACAAGGGAGCCCTAAAGTATAGAATAATTACAAAATAATAACTCAAATAATAATATATTATTCTAACACTAACTACTACCACTTTTGCACACTTTGAAACTTTAAACATAGCTGTAAATATTAGTATGGAAAAAATTCTATAAGGTAAGGCCCATGTGCATAGCGCATGGCACCCTTCTTGTATGCCGTAATTTGGTTGCCATTACAATGATTCCGGTCTTGTGCTAATCATCCTGAGAGCATGCGTTCAAATTTTTCAATTCGTTTTTCCATGTTAGTATTCTTTCATTGTAATTTATCCAAAAAAAAAAAAAAAAGAAGAAGGTATTCTTTCATTGTACATGTTATGTCTTTCCCCCCAAATGCTTTTTGGAAAACCTGATTAAATCTATTCTGTTGTGTTGCATCCATGAATTTTCTTCATGATGGTTCCATCCTAGTTTGAAGCAATAGATTATGTGCTGGATTGGAGGGGAAATCTGTGAAAGTGCAATTTTCTTTCAAGATGATGTGATGCACTTCATTGCACTAAAGATGAGGCCAAGAGACTTAATTTCCCTAATTTGGTATTCACATTACATAATCATGAAAAATGAAATCTTGGTACTTGGATGACCAACGTTCTAATCTTTGGAGTCCTTAATTTATTTATCTGACTAGATTAGAAGTTTTGGATGCAATCCCAAGCAGATTTCTTGGCTAAGACAAAATGAAAAAATTTGTTGTAACTATGGTTCTTTAATTTAAAGAACCATCCACTAATCCCTGTATTAAACTCCACAGTTTGTCTAGTAGACTACTATTTGTTTGCGGCATTCACAGGAAAATATTCCTTCAGCCAGTAAGGTTAGAAATGCAGTTTTGCAGTGAATAGAACAAAATAGTAAGTCCTTTTTACATATGAGAGTAAGAAAGGTTAAAAAAATGAGCTGAATTAAACTGGAATGAATCGTGCCTGACATATTAACTGCAATTGAGCATTGAAGTGACTACAGTGAGGGTAATTAGGAAAATATTTGGGAAATGGAACTTGAATACATATATGAATATAATGAGCGCCCCTAGATAATGTGATCCTAAACTCAAAGGCCATCAATCAATTTATATATTCAGAAATGGTTATCTCGAGTTTTCTTCATCTTATATCTATTTGGTTGAGGCTACCTAAGTAGATATGAAGTTTTATACGTCTTTTCTTTAAGATATGATAAAAGTTTTATATATCATCATAAACAATTTTCTTTACTTTTTAATCTGTTTAGTAGATACAACTTTATGATTCGCTGTCTTCATGGGGTAGTCATTTGCTATTATTTCTTTCATTCAGGTGCTCAACCACAGTTGAGTCCTTTCCTTCATCACCATCACACTCTTCGGATGGTGGAGTACAGCCAGATATACAAAATATCCGAGTGTTGGTTGGACCTCCGCTGAGACGGCAACCAAAACATCAGATGGCAGATTCGTTACTTCCTCTATTTTCTTCTATTGATTCGAAGTCTGTTGATCTGAAAGTGGAACGCAATGTCTGTGCATTTCATGAGGGAAAATTTATCCGTCCTGAAGGTTTGAGTGATTTTGTTGTATTTTGTACAAGCGATTTCTCTACAGTTTCCAAGGAGGTTCATGTCAGGACCCGTAGGGTGCGATTGGTTGGCCTAGAGGTATTCACATTAGACTCCCAATACATAAAATATGTACACCTTTACTTCATTACCAAGTGCTGAAAGATGACTTGTGGTTTTTCTAGGGTGCTGGTAAAACGTCTCTTCTTAAGGCAATCTTGGATCAAAGCAGACATGCTAATATTGAAAATTTGCATATGGATATTGATGTTCAAGAAGGTATTGCTGGTGGTTTGTGCTACTCAGATTCAACGGGAGTAAATTTGCAGGTCCGTGTTATTTAATAAGGCCTCCTGTTCTTAATCTTTTGATGAAGGTCTCCTGTTTGTACTCTGTATCTTTCTTTCTTTATTCTTTTTTTTTTTTTTGGTCACTCACAGTGCTGGCATGCTGATTTGCTGACAATATTTCTGTTTCATGTGCTCCACCAACATTATTTCAAGCACTTCATAAACTGAGTTGTTGGCAGTTTCTCTTTTTCCCTTTTCTTCATGTCAACAGCTGTATCAGAGTTTGTCACATTTTTAAAGATAACTTTTTCTTTCATTTCAGGGTAACTCTACATTTCTTTATTTGACTAGACATTTTGTCATTTTAATGTTGTGATTTGAGTTTTAAATGAGAGTTTGGTTTAATATTGTGGAGGATGATATTCAACTTTAGATACTATGTCATAAATTTCAATGTTGAAATCTCACAAATTATCATTTATCGTATATCACATACCTTTCTTTGATGCCTGTTGATGTTATAATAAACCATTTCAAAAGCATAAGAACTTGACAACCTGTTTGCTATTGTAGATTAACAGGTAAATGTTTTCTTCATTACAGTTGTAAGCTGAAACATGCTGTATATTTCTAATAGGGTGTAGTCTATTTAAGATTATAAAAATGTTTGTTATCCTATCTTTCCAGCTAGCTTGTTTTCTGATCTATAACTTATGAACTTGGAAATCTCTGGGGTGGTACTTTTAGTTTCATGATTATTATGGGTAGTATATATAACACCACATAACAGTCAACACCACTGGTGACACTTTTCAGCATTCCTGTTTTTTCTAGCACCTTCAATTGCCTTTATATGATGCGTGGTGCCTGTCCTGCTTTTCCATCCTTGAATTCTATTCTTCAATGGTGCAATTGGTACTTTTTATGGTGATACATACTGGCATAGGCATTAAAAATGAAGGTTACATAGAGCTTTTGCTTTTCTTTGTCTGCTCTCGTTTGGATGGAAAAAAGAGTTACTTTTGGGTATTTGAGTTGCTTCTTTTGTCCTTTGTGTGGTGCCATTGAGTTCTGGTTTTTAGCATTTCATTTTACGCAATCTATTTTTACATTGCAGGACCTGAATATGGAGGCCTCTCGTTTCAGGGATGAACTTTGGAAGGGAATCTGTGATCTTAGTAGGAAAACAGACTTGATTGTTCTTGTGCATAATCTGTCCCACATAATACCTCGATACAATCAGTCAAATGCTTCTCAGCAGCAGCCAGCCCTCTCACTTTTGCTGGATGAAGCTAAGGCCCTTGGAATCCCTTGGGTCCTTGCAATAACAAACAAATTCTCAGTCAGTGCCCACCAGCAAAAGGCAGTGATAGATGCTGTTCTGCAGGCATATCAAGCATCTCCAAGCACAACTGGGGTCGTCAATTCCTGTCCATATGTCATGCCCAGTGCTGCAAGTGCTCCTCAGTCTTGGGGTGCAGGAGATAGAAATTCTGGTAGGATGGGTCCTCAACAGCTTATTCTTGTTCCTATTAATCTTGTCTGGAGGCCTTTCCAGAAGAAAGCTGTCGTTCTCCCTGTAGAGGGTGTAACTGCTTTGTGCCAGCTTGTCCACCGTGTGCTTCGTAGCCATGAGGAGGCTGCTTTACAGGTACTGGATACCTTTTTCTTTTTCTTGTTTAATTCCCTTGATAAGTAGGTAGAAACATTTCATAAATATGTTGCATCATGAAAATGAGAAAAAGAGAAAGAAAAGTATCTAATCAAGTGTGAGTGAGGTTTAACATAGTAATAGGATGTATGGGCTATAGTAGGCCTGTCAGCGGGTCGGATCCGGGTCGGATCTGCCAGAATCCGATCCGATCCGATTAACTTTTAATCTGAATCCGAATCCAAATCCGATTATTGAAAATCCGATTATACGCGATCCGATCCAATCCGTTTTACACGGATATCCGATCCGAATAATCCGATCCGATCCGTTTTTTTTTTAGCCAGCCATAAAGTCAAGAAAATACCAATTATAAAAAAAACATAGTAGCTTTTTATAATGAAAAGTTCATCTTGATGTTCTGACTTCCCTAAGGCAAAACATTTAGGCAAATCATCACCAATGCAAAACATAACATCATTTCAAAGCATCTTTCCAAAACAAAACATCACAATTTCTCCCCTTGTGATACAATCAAAAATACATAAATGAGGGCTTTCACAATGTAGCATGAAGTAACAACAAAGAAAAACTTTTTTAAAAAAATATTCAATTCCAGCAAACTAAAAGTGAAATTGAAAGATATCTAGCATGTTTGACTAGCAACATCAAAATTGGAAACAAGTCTATTTCATTACACATGCTAAACATATGTTCTCGGATTTTGAACATACAAATCAAATCAAACAATACTAAGCTGAGCAGTCTAATTCAAAGCTTACAAGCCTAACCCAGCTCAATAACTCAACCTGATCATATCCCAGATAGAGTACAAAAGTCACTGTTGCATTCATGGTGTAAAAACAACTCAAAAGATGTCACCAGGTTTTGAGAGACAATGGAGCATCATTACAAAGCAACAAACCAATCACTTGGTTGCAAATTAAACGGTGATGTGATTCAGTTTCACTATCACCAATCATATCCAACTCAAAAAGAATAATTCCATCATTGACAAAAAAAAAAAGTAACATCAGCCACCAAAACATTGCCACTGCATTCTCTAACTTACAAGAGGTCAGAATTTTATGACACACTTTTGGCACAAAAGTAAAACCAGAAAAAACTCATGAAAGACTCCTATGAAGAACAAGCTATGCTATACTATCTGAGAGCTAACAATAGTTTCCCAAACATGTTTGTGTCTCTTTTGGTCTTCTCTATTAGTTCTTCAGTATCTTCTCTTGTTCTTTGCTTCTACTACGATAACATCAGCCACCAAAACATCTGCAGAAGTAATTTTATCAATGTATCAGCAAGTGTAAGAGAAGATAAAAACAATAATGAAAACAATTTTGTTGATAAAGAGCAGTGGACCCAAGTAAAGTCACCGATCAGGGAGGAGACTTATTTTGTTATATATATATATATATACAGGGCTCTATTTGCTGCTGTAAAGGTTTACGAGTTCTGTTTTTTACTTTTGGTGGTGAAATTTTTTACATTTTTTTTTTTTTTGAAAATCTGGAGAGGCATGACTTTCATAGTGACTAATTGGGAATCTGAATATTGGGAATCTAAATATATTCAAAAGCAGCTTTTCTCAAAAGAAGAGTATCGATTTAAGCTTTTAAATATATTTGGTATCCAATGTTGATGATTGTGTTGAGCATTTCAAATGATAAGCACACGAAATAATTTATTCATGTGAGGGGTGGTTTTACGATACTTCTTCACTCCAAACAAGCCTTTGGAAGATCCTCGTTCTACTATCTGAAACAAGAAAGTACTTCGGTCGGGAATGCTGGAATTACCACTTCGACGAACAAATTAGTCCTTCAGAAGAGAGGAAGTAGTATTTATATTCTTAAGGGGTAAGTTCTTAGAGCATACCTTCTCCTTCACCATTACCTTCGCCCATGTAAGATATTTATGTATATATTTTTGTGTGATATATATATATTTTTTTATTTTGTTTTTATGTTTTGGATATTAAAAATAAAATAAAATAAAATAAAATAAATAAAGGTAAAGTGGGTAAAGGAAGGGTAGCGTGAATCAGCATGTGGTTTAAAAGGTGAGTAGGTATGGGTTTGATATATATAAATATATATAGAGAGAGAGAGTGGGGAACAAGGGGTGGTGGTGCTGTGCAAAAGATGGAGTAAAAGAAAATAAAAAAAAAAAGAAAAGAAAGGGGAGTGGGAAACAGGAGTGCATGGAGTAGTTTATATAATAATAAGAGTAATAAAAAAAAGGAAAAAAGTAGACCACTTGAGATTTGTCTGGGTTTTGGAGCAGTTCATGCCGAGAAAAGGGAAGTAGAGGAGAGAAAGTGTGTGTGGTGTCTATGTGTGGGTGCTGGATGCATAGCGGGAGTCGACAGCGGAGGCGGAGAAGCGACTGGCGCTACGGGTGGTGGAGGCGAAGATGCCGGCAGTGGAGAGATTCAGGACTACAGCAACAACAAGGACTCCATCAAAACCCTAAAATCAGGCGAGCGATTGACGCCTCTGGCCGAGAATCTCGGCATGGTTCAGAGGTGCATCGATTCCATTGCTTCCGGGGCTTCTTCAACCGATCCATCATTGTGCTGATGGCCGGTGAATGAAAAGGCCGGAACTGGCAGGACTGAAACTGGCGGTCACCGGAAAACGGCCGGCGCGGAGGTGTTTAGTCGGATTATTGAGGGCGGCGAACCTTGATGGAGTGGTGTTGGCAGCGAACAGTGAGGAAGTGAGAGAGAGTGCGAAAGGTATGGGTAGAAAATTCCAGCGGGCAGCAAAGGCAGAGGTGCCGGCCGGCTGCCCGCCGGTGAGAAAAAAAATACAGGTTTAAATCTTATTGCTCTGATACCATGTAAAATAACTGATGTATTATTATTGATGTATATAACAATGATTCATGATTCCTATATATAGAAGAGGGTGAGTGTGTAGTAGGTAAGGAGTAGGTGAAGGTGAGGTGGTAGTGGTGTAGTGGGTTAGGTTTAGTGGAGTAGGTTTAAGTGGGTGAAGGTTTAGTGGAGTAGGTAGATTTTAACATTCATCTTGATGTTCTGACTTTCCTAAGGCAAAACATTTAGGCAAATCATCACCAATGCAAAACATAACATCATTTCAAAACATCTTTTCAAAACAAAACATCACAATTTCTCCCCTTGTGATACAATCAAAAATACAACAAAGAAAAACTTTTTAAAAAAAATATTCAATTCCAGCAGACTAAAAGTGAAATTGAAAGATATCTAGCATGTTTGACTAGCAACATCAAAATTGGAAACAAGTCTATTTCATTACACATGCTAAACATATGTTCTCGGATTTTGAACGTACAAATCAAATCAAACAATACTAAGCTGAGCAGTCTAATTCAAAGCTTACAAGCCTAACCCAGCTCAATAACTCAACCTGATCATATCCAACTCAAAAAGAATAATTCCATCATTGATAATGGGTCTATACAGAAAAAATTTCATCATCATCATGATCACCAACGAGATCCTCTGCCCATTCTCCAATCAAGTGAGTAGATTTTGTAACACTCTCAGCCATAAAATTGAGATCTCAGAACTCTACCATGTAATGTAACACTCATAGCAGTCAGATAGATACCAACCCTAATGAATCAGTCCCTACAGAAGCTTCAGTCCACCTGTTACATCATCAACCATTTCAGCAGGCCCTGCACATGCATGAGCATGAGAATTAGTCCAATGCTAATCAGAAGAGTGACATAATTTTCAAATCAATGACACATTACCCTGTTTGGATGTTATTATTATTTTTTTTAATGCCTTTCTTTTCATATCAACCTTTAATTGCTTAATTTGCAAATAAAGCACATCAGTAATGAAGAGAATTCCAACTTCTCAAGTCAATGCATTTAACTCCATGTACAAAACCATATAATATCAAAGAAAGGTCGGTGGATAATATGCTAGAAATAAATGTAAGTGTTGTTGCAACTTGCAAGTATTGAATGAAAAAGACTTGGCAGACAATGTGAGGGTATAACAGAACATAGTTGACACAAAATTGAGAAAAAAAAATTGCACATTGCTTGAAAGCTAATCCAAATTTATAGACTTGTTTTCAACATAAAAACTTTTCAATGTAAATCTTGATAACAATAATTAATCCTACAAATTTCTAGGCCTCTAAAATTCTCAATCAATTTGCCACTCATCCAATACTTATTCACAGCTCAATCCAAGAATATCAAGCTCCAAGAAGAAAAGTTATGTAACCACATTTCACCACAAGCAGTTCTAGTAAGAGATAATTAAAGCTATATACTCACGATTCTTCCAAGTCAATAACTTTAATAGCAACCACTTTGTTAAGCTCATTATCAAACCTGCAAATCAAGAAAGCTATTACCTTAATATGCAAACAGATTATCAAATTATGTCAGATACGAATTTCATAGATCACTATAAAGGCATGGGACAAGCCCCATAATCTGAACCATATTTACCCATCTACTTCAAGTGATTCGATTCAATTCAATCCATCTACTCATGTCAGCATTCTTCTACATCTGCAATTTGAAAATAATGTGACATTAAGATATTCATAGAACTAAACTAAATAACATCTAATTATTTAAAAATTTCAATATTTCACTTCTATTTTTGGTTGATTCAATCCAATCATTGCAAGTGATCAAGACCTCCACAATATCTGGAAGTAATGAAGCACGTGTCTCATCAATCACCCTACCTCCTACACTAAACTCCGCCTCTGATGCAACCGTAGTAGCAGGAACACTTAAAACATCACGAGCTATCCTTGCCAAAGTAGGAAATTTTGCTTTATTCACTTTCCACCAATGTAGAATATTGAAGCTCTCATTACTTGGAAACACCAACTCCTCCAAGTATTGCTCCACCTCTGATTTTTGATAGGCATGAATGTTAGAAGCATGTTCTTGGGCATACCACGTATGAAAAGCGGCCAAACTTTCTTGTTTCGAAGAACCGACAAGCAACTGACTACCACTTGAGCTACTATTTTCAGAAACAAGTGCAATGCTACTCATAGAATCAGAAGAATCACTCCTATACTCATAAAAAAGATCAGCAAAACCATTACGGACCCTCTGAATATGCTTATTAGCATCAGCACCATAAATAAGCCCATAGTAGTATTCCACCAAGTCCATTTTAAATCTCGGATTAAGAACCACTGCAATTGCTAACACCAAAGAACATTCTTCCCAATATTTTTGAAATTTCACTCTCATTGGACCAGCCATCAATTGAATGCAACCAGAAAGATAATTAGCATGAAACATGAACCCACTCGTCAATGGGACAACTGACTCATCTACACTTTGCATTCTCCACTTCAACAGGCCAACACCATCAGTAGATTGACCAGTAGGAAATGGCCTGTTAGAATCTTTGAGGCCTAAAATATTTTCATTGGAAAACAATGGGAAGGTATGTGTAGAAAATAAACGGAATAGGTTGAGGTCCGGCGGGCGGCGAAGGTGAGGTTGCCGCCCGCCGGGGAAGCGAAAATAGTAGGTTCTAAACCTGCTCTGATACCATGTAAAATTTAATGTACAAGGAGAAATAGAGAGAGAATAAATTGTATTATTGATTGTTGTATGTTGATATTTTCTGTCTATTACAAATCTATTACAAAATGGTTCCTTATATAGATGTAGGTGTAGTGGATGGTGTGTAGTGGATGGTGATAGGGGTGTAGTGGGTTAGGTTTAGTGGAGTAGGTGAGGTGGTAGTGGTGGTAGGTGAGGTGGTAGTGGTGGTAGGTGATGATAAATTCTAACAATAAGCAAGGATTTTCTTCTTTAACTCCCAATCATTAGTCACATAATGGGCAGTCAAACATGTATAGGCAAAATTCTGGAGGTCTGAAGTCCATATATCAGTTGTTAAGGTGATCTTAGAAGAGAGTTCATCCAAAAATTGATATAACTTGGCCTTTTCTATTTCATAAACATCAAGGGCATCCGCTCTAACAGTGTTACGAGACACAAGTTTGAACATTGGTTGAAGATTATTGCAAAATATTTCAAAAAACTCATGCTCAGCCATGTTAAAAGGATAATTATGCTTGATTATCATCCTAGAAAAATCCATACGACTTCTCTCTTGATCGAATTTAAAAGTTGCAGCCTTAGGAGTAGATTCAGAAGCAGCCTTACTAGCATTCCTAGGGGCATTTAACCCTTTAAGTACTGGGCATGTCTTCGACAAATGATTTTTTAAATGACTAGTCCCTTTCCCTTTCCTACTCTCTCCAACAAATTCCCTATTGCAATGCTTACATCTAGCTATGTCATTTCCACTAGGTCCTTTAAATTTGACAAAGTCATCACATACCTTCGAAGTTAGTTTTCGAATCCTCTTTGTGGATCCTTGAGATACATCGTCATCCAACTCGGCATCATCAGGAATAATAGGTTCGCTATAATCCGAAGACATCTCCAATAGTAACTGCAGACAAGCACAAAACAGTGTGCACCAAACACTTCAATTTGGAAATTATATAGATTTGTGTGCATGTGATCAATCTACTGAAGGGGAGAGGGGGGGGGGAATGAAGTTCAAGCTAATTCACAACCCACACCCCATTTCGTCTCTATAAATCCAACACCAAACATAGCATAACTGAAATAAATTAATTTGGAAATTACTATCCAAAAGTCAACAGAAAAATTTACTCTCAGATTCATAATGGAAAAAGACTTCAAAGCAATTGAGCCATTGATGTTATATATATTGAGTAACTCAAAAATCTTACCTTTCTTTGGTTTTAAGAACATTTCACTACTCAAACAAAAAAGACATTTCCACTGATTGAATTTGTCAGAATATTCCTTCTAAGAAGAACATCTCCAATAGCAATTTTGTTCAAAAAAATCCAGTAAGCTCCAAGTATTGCTCCACCTCTGATTTTTGATAGGCATGAATGTTAGAAGCACGTTCTTGGGCATACCACGCATGAAAAGCAGCCAAACTTTCTTC